TCATATTGTATTCTTGCTTTGAAATGTTCGCGGTCACCGGTCCTTTAACGGAGAGGAAACGTTTCCCAGGGGGGAAATTGGCAGGCGTGCAAGAAAAAAAGGGGTCGGTTGGGTGTTAACGGGATTTATGGGCTGTCCTCGAAAAAGACGAAGCGATCAGGGGAATCGTAATGAGGGGAGGAGAAATGTTTGAGGTGTACGAACGCTGGAGTTTATGGACAGGAGTTATTGAATATATTTTTTGAACCATTGTTTATTGAGGTCATTTTCTTCTATTTAATTACAGTTCAATATTCTCGTAATGTATCGATATGGTTAATGTTTGCTTCCTGAGGTTCAACTAAGTCCTTTGCCAAGGATCATCCTGGGCAGTTGTCTGGTCAGGAACCATTCACGTATTGCGTGTATGGCAGAGACGTATCCTATACTACTTAGTTGACTAGGCGGTATGCGTGTTGTCTGACCACATACATACTCTATACTACTGTGTCCTATTTCTGCTACTAGGGATCTACCTTTTTCAAAATTCCAAATACAGCAATGCAGATCTATTAAATTCAAAATAAAGTAATTGAATCACTCCGATAAAAACGTTTGTAATAAAATTTTTAGCATGCTGCTTTATTGCCTGCAACTAGAGGATATTTTACATCGTTGTGTTCTGAGAAAACGTGAAGTTACAGGACGTCAAGCCTTATTAGGCTGAATTACACGGGCATATTTTTCCAGTTTCGAGCTTGGTACGTTTACAGTCGGAATAGCGTGACGAACTTTGTTTATCGGAGGAATATACGTCGCGTTTACAGGAGGCCCGCCGATATTTTCCGACCAATTGTGTCGCTAAGCGTCGGGTTGTCAACACGTTCGAACTTCCGGCCGCGTAATAATTCCATCATGGCCTCCCCACTGGAATGGCTTTCTGGACGTTTTAATATTTCACGGAAAACCATTCGGCGAACTTACCCCCGGGTCGGAGCGTGGAAGGTAACTTCAGCGGCGTTTGTCAACAAGTAACGGCCAGGAAGCACGAACCGCGGAAGTCGGGTTGGCCTAACTTGCCATGCGTTTAAGAGGATGTCAGGTCGCAACAAAGCCGATTAAGAGCTTAAGGCCGAAACGGTTGAATGCCTAATTACGTCGTGAACAGTGTTCGAGTATCTTCACCAATAATGGATCAACCTATTCTCTTCAACCCCCGTCTTCCTCTCTCCCCCACGTCCTCCTTTTTCCCCCTCGTCTTTTCCACTTTGTTCGACCGTCGTCGCTTAATTTCTCGCCGAAATGGAAATTATCATAAATACGAGAATCGATCCATCCGATCAGTCTGTAGCTACTGGTACAAGAGCTTCTCTGACCTCTCTTCGATTGGGGGTCGCTCCGGTTCAACGAAGTCGGTAATTAACGGCTAATTATTTACGTAAATGCGTCACTCAGCGTAATGACCTGTTCTGTTTTGCACGCGAGTACACGAGGGAGGACACGATTGTTTATGTCGTATTTCGCGTATGATCTCGGTCGTGCCACAAGGGATTGATCGTCGCAATACGGAACGAATATCGGGCAATCGGACGCAACACAGAAGTTATCTCGCTGCGACAGACAATTATGCCATTCGCGTTTGCATGCTTACTTTTATATTTCCATCGAACTGTTACAGTCATTATTTCCGTTTCCCCGTCTGAATATTACGAAGCCGGTACCAACGATTTTCGATAGAATTTCAAATGATAATGTATGCACGAGTTTCGTAATTAACCGAATCTATTGGACACCTTCAACTCCCAGTAAATACGTAATAATTCTGTGCGAGTGTCCCTTTAAACTTTTAGAACACATTTCTAGAGATATTTTTATGATAACTTGTCGTGTATATGTTCCAGTAAAAGCGTTAATTCAGTAAATGTATACGTTTCCATGTCAATGTATGCACTTATTCAACTCAGTGTATTACCTAGTTTGCGTAATTTCTTTACAGTTTTGAAAAGCATACTCTACTATGCACTGTCCAAAGGGGTTCATAAATTCGTTTTATCCTTATTATCTGTGTATCAACAACATGAATAATCTTGGTTTTGTTGCGATATACGGTCGCATCTACTCAAACAGTCGACCGAAACTGAAGGAGAGACACAGAATCTGGACCGAGCAGTGCGACTACGAGACCGGAGACTCGTGCGTCATGTCTAGGAAAGCCCGTAAGTGCAAACAGGAAGGTCCTAAATATGCAACCCTCATACCCTTTGCGCCCACCGGTGCCAGCGTATCCTTGCGCCTTGTGAAACGAGATTGCGTCTCGGAAATGTTTCGAAACGCCCGTCGGTCTCCGTTTGCTAACTGCATACCACGGGCGCAGGAAATGAGAACATCCGTTTGTGAATACATTGTTAGCTGTCGTTCTATCGTCAAGAATGTGACCGCCCAGAAACGGATTTACTCGGGGAATGGTATTTCACGATCAAAGTGATTCCGTCTTGCTTCACCATTACCTGTTTCCTTCCTCTAATCGTAAACATGCGTGTATTTCAACAGATGGTAGAGTTATATTCAAAAGTGAACGTGTAAAAGTATCTATAATGGATTACTTACAGACTCGAATAATTGTTTATCACGAATTCTGTATAGCAACAGTGTGTTTCATGAAAATGATACATTCTGGACCACTCCCATTCCGTTATATTAGTATACGAGTTGTCTATCGATCAATGTACACTGTGAACATCACTTTCCAAAGTGTACACTTGCGGAATTCCTTGCACAAGTTTCCCATCCTATTCCACACAAACTACAGAAAATCAAATACACGAAGACTACTGAAATATTAAGAGTTCCAGAAAGCAAAGTCAATCCATTTACTTTGAGTAAAATACGAATGACGAGGCTCATTGTTCACACGCATAATGGAAGTAGCAGTTCTGCCCATCAGGCCTGAAACTGTTCCGACTAATCTTCAGCTAGGCCGAACGTAATCACATTTGAATGGGCCATAACGTTCGTAGTAAAATCTGCGTGTAGACTTGCAACTGACACGTCCAAGTTCTTTGGTTGATCCAGGGCCAAGGAGAAGACAGGATACGCCTCCGTTCGGCCAGGATCCCTGACACCTGGAACCGGGCCAAGGCTCAGGTCCGTCGCCAGGGGGTGGAGGCGTCGAACTTATGCCGTCGGCAGACTTTCAAAATTATTACCCAGCCGCGTCAGCAGCTACGGTGTTTGTTTTCCTCCTGATGGTGGCTCGCTGTCTCACCTATTTTTCTTCCGGGCCAACCTGTCTTCCCAGCGACCAGAGTTGGGCAGAATTTTATTCGAATAATACACAGTGAAAAGCAGCAGTATCTAACGGTATCGTTCTGAGCTTTAAACAGTTAATGAGTTAATTTCTCGTTTCGAAAATGCGATTACCCCATGCGACTAGTTAAAGATTAAGAGAGTACATATATGATTTTTGTACCGATCGATGGTATTACTCGAACACATTCGAGTTACGGTTTGCAAAGTAAGCAGTGTACCGCAGTAATTTCTCACAAATGCCTGCAACGTAGTATATCTAAAGGGTTCGAAACCAAAGCTCCGCCACTGAAGGCGGAATGAACTTTAATGGGTCACGCGTAGCCGTAATTATCTAATTACGATCACGGTTCACTGATTTCACTTAGACCCCTATCAGGAGGACTGCGTGGTTTCAATTATCGGCCAATTAGATCAAACGAAATTAACCGTTTACCGGAGAGGGAAGGATACTTTGGCCTCGAGTGCTGATCGGAACGAAAGAACCGCTATCGGCATTCTCCTGGAAAATTGGATTCAACTTTGCTTAATGCCATTGTGCAGCGACGCTAAGAATTATAGTCGCGATTATCGGAATTAATTCGCGGGCATGGGCTAGAGAGTACAATGGGGGAAATCTTCAGGATTTCGATTCTTTGTTGAGAAATACAATCCGCAATGTTCTATGGATAATAGGAATCATCGGAATTATTGGAAAGTTCGTTTGAACTTGAATATTAATTCTTTACATTCCTATGCTTATTCAGAGTCGTTCATAGAGGAAATATTTATCCCCTCGAATCTCCCGATTTGTGTAACTACACTTAATTACGTTCATCTATTCCATCATCGTCAATTGGTCTGCAGTCCGCCACGTGCGCACGGTAAACTTGGGACCCATCCGCACCGGGCCTTACCTTTGTTTCGCAGACAATGCTGACGTAAACCCTACCGTTGGGGGACCTCGAAAATTTGTCGCGGTCAAGTCGTATCGTGACCACGTGCGCGATATTTTTCTGAAAGAGAGGTTTTCCACCTCCACGTCACTTGGGAAAACCCAAGAATTTGTCTTCCCCCTTCAGGGCGCAACCAATTAGGAGGCGAAATTTGATAACGCCTTCGGCGAACTTCGAAGGAGCGCGACGCCACGCGGGACTCGAAGTCATTCGTTTACAAACACTCAAAGAAAACAGATCATTCGACAAGACCCGTGCATAGTAACTCGCGATTCGTCAGCCCCAACGGTCGAGCAATCATACGATTGAATTCGACAGACGAGAAATTTGAAACAGTTGCCTAATATTAATTTGGTCGAGCCTGGGATTTACAAATCTAGGCGGATTCTAAAGAGAATCCGCGCGAACGGATGTGACAATGGTATGTTTGAAAATGTATTTTCATTGAATATCTGTGAACTGTTTCATAAAACTCTCTGTATTAAGTATTATGAATATAATATTGTTTCCTATGAAAACGTGGCGACCATTCAAAGTGTAAATAAAAGCGCATCAGAAATGATCATTTCAATTTAATACAGTATATAATACTTCCGTACTATATTCGTATTATTATTTGCAATATTAATTGAAAGCAAATATTTTCTGAATAACAAATCAGAATCCCATCAAACTCTGTTTGATATTTCGATAACGTGATACACAATATTCTGCGAAACACGTAAATATTTAGAGATTCTAACAGCACAATTTTAATCGTCTGTCCTCTTCTACTTGCAGGTTGAACTACCTGATGTCAGGATTAACACCGAGCTGGTATCACGCGACGAATATTGCCCTGCACGCCATTGCATGCGTTCTGGTCACAAGGGTGAGCCTAGTTGTGGCAGCGCTGCGTCCTGGATTTGCAGCTTTGACAGGGCTGCTGTTTGCTGCTCATCCTGTGCACACTGAAGCGGTGAGTAACGAGGAATTTTGATACGGACGGGAGACAGGATGTAGCAGACGCAGGGGATTGTTAGCTAAACAGAAGTCAATCCCCAGAGTAGGCCTTGCTCGATCATTAGGGGCTAAAAGACAGTAAATACCTTGCATTCCCTCTGCAGTCTAGTGTGTCGAGTATCTTAAAATACTAGAAACAATACTTTAGTATATCATTACTTGCAACTGTATTAAATGGGATATACAAGTTTGTGAAAAAAAGGGATAAAGAAATAGGAGGCAAGAGTCTAGAATATTGGGAGCATACGATCAAAATATCTGCACAATAATAATACAGTCTGACACATCGAGTTTCTTTAAAATATTATAAATAATAATATATAACTTCGAGGGTTAAATCTTTATTGATTACGGTCTACATCGTGGAAATAGAATATATACATACAAGGGACTCAGAACGATGGGAAAATGTAGCCAAGTCACCGATATCTGTGGTATTATAATATCTCTGTCAAGCACCTTTAGTTCCATTTATCCGAAAGATCATATCAGAGAATATTAACTAACTTGTGATTTATCATAGAAAAGACTCAATTATGCTCGTTTCTAGTAAAATCAGGTTCAAAGCGAACAGATAAGCTGGAACGCGCAATGAAGGTGTCAACAGTCACCCAATATTGCCTCCCTAAAAGAACCGATTAATTTAGCGCGGCCTAAATAGCTGTATTATATCAATTACATGTCTACTAATCGATTCGGATTACGTTAGCTCCCGGCCGGTGTAGTTACACTCCGTGCTCCTCGACGATAGAAATTAATCCCCGCGTTTTCACGTTCGCGTGGTTGCGATTTTACTTTAAGCCGATCGAAGGGACACCGCCAGTCGATCCGGCAAGTGGAAGCCTCTTGTTCTTCTGGTCGCGTCCCGCGCAAGAACAATGAACTTGGACGTCACCGATAATGTTTGTCTACTTAATCTGCTTCAGCTAAGCGCATGATTGTTACGTTGTACTCATCGTTGCCCCCCCTCGCCCCTCGGTTATCTGCTGTTTCAGAAGGTACGGGTTTAAAGAGGATTGGGGATCGTGGGTGAACGAGCTAGTGAGCGGCGATTGCCAGTGTAGAACTAATATAGAAGATATAAGGTACACTTTTCAAGCAAACACGAGCATGACTGAAATCGGTAAACTGATTAGAAGTATTTGTTCTTTTCTGTAATTCTTCGTTATAGTATCAATCGATCTTCAGAATCATTACATTGAAAAATCTTTATACCCAGACTATTTTTTTATTTGCAAAGCACTACTGTACTTTGGCAGGGTATTTCCGTTTGTGTTTACCTTTCTGTATTTATTTTGAACGTTGAACTTGTACTGGGAAAAGTTGCAGCTTTCAAAGCTTTGATATCGGATCCTTGAGTATGGAAACGATATGCGTCTGTAATTGGGCTGAACGTGGAACCGTGGATTTGCTGTGTAATGATCGAATAACGTCACATAATTCTATCGATTGATCAGGTTTCCGACTATGGATTTTTCGAAGTTCAGAAAACGTCAGACCCATAATCTTCGAAAGAATTCAGGCATTACGGACACGTGATTTCATTTTAATTCAACGAATTCTTTACAATCGAGGACGTTGAACAACAAAGAGAAACTCTTTCGCCAGCATTTCCGCAACAATTGTTTTTCCTATCGGAGAGAATTTATCGACCGATACTGAAATGATCGCGGGACACGAGTCGATTACCCTTTCGCAGCATTCGCCTCGCGATCGGCGGTGAAATAAGCTCAACGGCGACGTAGAAATTTACATTTTACAAAGTTCGTGACTACCTGATAAACGCAGAAAACTCGTGGCCACGTACAACATGGAAAAGCTTACGCAGCAAGGGAACAGGGTAAAATACAGTCCTCTCTAATAGCCTTCATTTCAGAACCAATGACGGGTGTTTAGAAATGCAGAATCCTCAATTTTCCTAAATCCCCAGTATTATCTATCAGTATGATAGACAATATGTGTTGTTTATATACCAAGTTAATACAATTACTACTATGATACAGATATTCTCTATCACACGTCAAAAAAAGTTACATTAGTAGTCCAAGCTAAGCGATCGTTCAAATTCGGCAAACTTCCCTTAATTGTTCGCCTTGCGTACCAATTCTCTTTATTGGGTCGTTATTGTTAAATCCGAGTGGGTCTGGTAAAGGTAAAAAAAGTGAGGGAGCTCTAAAACTCTAATATTAAACAGCGAGGATATCGATGTCCTGCTGCAAATGTACGACGGACAAACCAATAGAGAATGATCGCTACATCCTTCCTCCCGTGCGTTAGGCGACGTGATTTGCGTACGACGCAGTCTTTCGAGAGAAAATTACCACCGACACGCTGCATCGATTCCTCTGGGGGGATCGAGGACTGGCCATTACAAGTCCGCCTCCACCTAGTCGGTCACGCACTGCGTCGCAGTGCATCGATGGCGCGTGCACGCGGTTGCATGCGCTGTTGCAAGTCGCGTGTCCGTCGACCCCTTGTTGCCCGTGTCATTACCACCCCCCGGTGTCATGCCCTCTGTTTATGTACCTTCGCGAATTAAAATGTCGGGATGCAGTAGTCGTATCCGCAACAACGATCTCCCGGGTCCCTTTTTGCCCTAATTTAAAGTCTGGGGTTTTAAGTGCAGGGTCTCGTGGTGGACGATAAACAGAACTTAGATCGAACCTATCCGGACGATCGAGGCGAAGAGATAAGAACCGGCTCGCATAGGGCGGAGCGACGACGTTGAATAATTGGGATCAAAGGCGATCGAGGGATAGGGAAAAATGAAGATTCATGCTCTTAATAACGGCTTATGAATTAGGTCGGGCGAAAAAAGGAAGATCGTCGGGTGGTTTTTATGGTACTATAAAATTATAGGTGTATTTGCAAAAAATTGAAGGTGATCTTGAAAAATCATAGCGTTTCCATAATTAAAAAAAATAGTCGGGGTATAATGCTAAAATGAAACACCCTGTATAATCGAATAAGCGACCCGATATAGTCCAGTCATTTAATGTTCCTTCATAACAAGAATAAATCTTGCGATTGAAAAACAAACGCGGCTCGGTACTCACCGATAGAATGTTAGCTCCCAGGCGGACATTTTCAGCCTCTGTTCGGCGGCCACAACCGCGAACCGCAAGCAACACTGAAAAAAATACAGCGTCCGACAAATCCATCGTGCAAACAGTCCACTCGTCGCGCGGCAAGAGGGATCGATTCAATAGAATGTCCGCGGTATCGAATGATATTTCGGTGTCGTTTCGAGCCCGGAATTGCAGATCTCTACATCGTGGCACGTCCGATTCGCTCGGTAACCCTCATCATATTGCTATTCAGCCGCTGCTCCGACAACAGACGCGGGATATTCCCTTTGTTTGTCCAAGCACACAGGGCGTTGTTTACCGAAATCATTAAATCCCGTCCCCAGGATTGAATCCTCTCGATCGAAGGGTCGAACAGGTCTACGGGAAGTGGACGGGGACGCGACGTGTTAATCAAGCCTGGCGCTGGCCGGGCCTGAAAAGGCCCGCCCGGAAAGACAGAGGGGGAGTCTTTTGATCCGAAAACGGGCTAGACGAGCGACGGCCATTTATCGGGCGGACAGGCTCGAGAATGGTTCTTTGTGCGGATTCGAAGCGTTTCGCGGATCCGTGTCTCGTTATTCGGCCGAGGGACACCGAGGCGGGTCGCGCTTTCACCAGAAAGAGAGGAAGAGGAACAGAGAGGGACAACAGGACCAATGCACGCGATCGTCGTCCGTGTCGAATCAGTTTGCGTCGATCTGGGCCGGTGTTTGCCGAAATGATCAAGCGGTGAAAGCATCAGGGTTAAGGGGGATGGGATGGGGCCAGTTTCTGGCTGTCGGATTAAGCCCTCGACCGAGCGCTGAAAGGAAGCGCGTTAATTAAGTACAACGGCACTGAAGCGGCTGTTTCCAGTGTAAACCCCGGCCGGAACAAAGGGCGAGCCGGTTCGGAAGAGGGACAAGAGCCAGGCATGAAGAGGGTCACCGCCGCCACGTCCCTCGAGATCGTCGTTTGGAAACGCGAATTTCTATCCTACCACCCCTCCACCTCGCAGTCTCGTTCTGATCGATCGATTATCACGCCTGTCGCGTCCGTTATCTAGGTCAGCTTTTCTTCCGCGTTTGCCGTGAATCGGTTGCTAAAGTACCCGGAAGGACTGCCCCGTATCGAAGCGGAAACGGCTGTTCCTTTCACGGGTACTTCGCACCACCACCCATTCCCCTCGTGGGGCGGATGTATTAGACCTGTTGGGAATTTTTGCGCGGTTCTTGGGATGAGGATTTTATGAGACTCGATCGTTGAGAGGATCTTGAAGGCTGTCGTACGCGTTATGGTGCGATATATGGACTATATTAACCGGTATTGGATGAGTGTTGATATTCAAGTATACAGGGTGGTTCACCGAGTTTGATGATATTGAGCTTTGAAATGGAAGCTTCCATCAAGCAGGACATTTCTCGTAACGATTATTTATTATTTATATTTACGCAGCAAGTTGTAAATGTCAGTTTGAGTGTGAACATATGAAAATAGAAGGGTTACAACGTCGCGACCCTTTAAAATAATTGCAATACAGAATACCATTGTAGGTTGGTCGAGATTTTTGTTGAAAATGTTCTTGCATACGATTCTTCGGGCAATTAAACCAGGCGAACAGTTCTCGGAGGATTCAACCTTTCCGTCACTTTTCTCTCCAGTTCCTTCAAGATCCTGCGACCGATCGGTTTCTTCGAGCGCCTGATAAATTGCGTACGAATGTCGGATCGTTGCATCCACCCAGGCGCTCCCAGATTGGAATGAAATTGTACGTACGGAACAGCCGGTTGAAGTTAACTGGTTTCTAGAAAAATGATGGTAGTTCTTGTTGTTTCGTGCCACCTCGCGTTAGTCACTCGCTTCGACGTGAGTTGTGTTGTACAGCGCGCGCGAGCTCGGTGAGAGAGTA